TACCTAGTACACTAACTAAGGTAAACGTTACTACTTGACAATTTCCTACTGTAAGCCACTAGTATAATCACTTGACCCACTCAGTACATAAAGTAACTTCTATTGACATTTCCATGAAGCCATAGTATATCACTTACCCATCAGTACACAAAGTAGCTTCATTAACATTTCCATGAAGCCATAGTATATCACTTGCCCATCAGTACATAAAATAACTTCATTAACATTTCCATGAAGCTATAGTATAGTATATCACTTGCCCATCAGTACACAATGTAAATTTATTGACATTTCAATGAAGCCATAGTATATCACTTGCCCTTCTGTACATAAAGTAACTTCATTGACATTTCTATGAAGCCATAGTATATCACTTGCCCATCAGTACATAAAGTAACTTCATTTGCCTCAAACGTTTCCCTCAACAACAGTGTTGCGTTCGCTTTGCACTCGGCGTGTTTACGGAGTAGCGGACACAACGAGCTATATTTACATCAAGCATTCGACGAGAGATATGGGCCTATGCTGGTATGTGTAGTGTTTCTGTGAAGGGTTTACTTCTCTATTAGCTCACCCGAGTACTAACACATATGTTGTAGTTGTACACTACAATGCTTATGTAAATTGTATAGTTTTATGGAAACAACCAAGATTTGTGCACGTATTCTGTATCTATTTATGCTCTAGATTAGCTAGTATAGTGCACTTCATTCGTTTGCCCAACAGATCTGTAACTCTACACGTGTCCGTGTATAAGTACATAACTCTAAGGCTTGTCTTACACAACAAGCGTCCTGCTAGTTTGATGAATGCTGCGTATTTCGGGAGTGAGGAATCGTAGGGACAAGTTCAATACTATAGGCTTCCTAGCTAGTCTAGAGCTATATATAATAAAATATATGCTTGAGAAAATGCGGAACTGCTAAGCTGAGATTGTATCGGCAACAGGAATGGACTGTATCACACCACGATCTCGTAGCGGCCACCCACAGCTCTGGTCTCCATGACAACATACTGACACTGAACTATACTGCAATTTAACTACAGAAACAATCCAGGCGGCCGGCCATTACTGACACGCCCCCATCAGCATCGTCTGTATACAAATTCTTGTGCCGAATATTCCTTCAAACCTCGGTATGTCAATGTCTTGGATATATACGAAATATATGTTTGTATTAAATCGGCACCTGGCCAGCATTTTTCAGCTTGTATTGATAAAAATAATTTTACTTCGACATTCTCTCTGCTCAAGCCATATCGGACGGGAAATCCTAATTTTGAAAAGCATTTACATCACATTATATTATATTGCACCCAAACTCACTATACGACACTACTACTCCCGTTTGCCCACCCTTCACCCAGCTATCCGCAGAGATAGTCATAGTCGCCACCGTCTACGTAGAACGCCTTGTTTTCAAAACTGGCATTGATTTGCACGCCACGAATTGGCGTCGCATTGTTTTAGGGGCTGTTATTTTGGCATCGAAAGTGTGGGACGATGAGGCCGTTTGGAACGTTGACTTCATCAGCTTATTTCCCAACATGAACTCGGCCGATGTGTATGTTGCCCGTTTAGGTTACATTACGATACGGTTTGCTCTACGCGTTTGTCATTTGTCTGCAGAATTGGTATCCCTGGCTATACGGTGTATCTACAGAACACATACCCATATACATATGAGCGCATACTGCTTTCATGATAAAACCTTATCAGCAGATGTCTTTGACACCGCGTCGTATAAGTGAACCCAATGTATGAGAATTATAACTGTTCACAAATAATAGTCTGCGCACGTATCTCAATACTCCAGGTATGTTCCGCTTGGAACCGTTTTCTTGCATCACTGATCATAGCACACCTTGACCCTGCAGTAATGAGTTAGAGCGCACCTTCTTGGAGCTCATTGAGTACAACGTGGGTGTGAAGGTATCAGTCTTCGCAAAGTATTACTTTGACCTGCGAGATATGACCTACAGTACCGACACCCTTACGGAGAAGAAGCCGTTGACCTGGCGCAGCGCCAAACGAATGGAGGTGTGTGTTTTTTTTGTTGTAGCAACTAGGGTTGCATTGGGTGGTGTGTGTGTATTGTCAATATGTCAATGGAAGTACATTGAGAATTCAAGTTTTCGACGGCACGAATCAGCATTTAGCCAATATCAGCCATAGATACCAGTAAACTTGGAAGATTTGAATGTACTAAATCAACTTACTATTTTTCACCGATAGCCCTACTCATGTTTACTACATACTCTAATACCTCGCAGGCCGTAACAAAACAAACCGAGAGGCTTCTGGTCATCGATGGATCACACCAACAACTGGCCAAACTCAAACGCGTGAATAGTCTTCAGGCCATCGCAACCAGGAGGGTTGTTGTTCTTTCTTGATTCTTCGAAAGCTCTGCCATGCTTACTATGCGTGACGAGAGAGTTATTTAAGGTTTAGAACAAGTAAAATTAGTTAGCGTAGAGGGACCTCTCGTGCAAAGTCGTATTGCTGAAACGCAATTCCATCCAGTATGCTACGGTCAAGCTCAACTGCATCATTAACTTACATGAAATATACACATGGCTTTTTAACTAGTACAGATGTGAAGATCGTCGGATATCCCCGCCTTGAACTATAATTTAACACGACTGGACACTGCTATTCGGCTAGGCGTAAATAGTATAATCTTATCTACTCCTACCGTCTAATTCCAATATATGTCATCACGATTGTATTGCAATTCTCAACTGTTGCTTCTACGCGAATTAAAATTTGTGTGTGAGCAACTGCTTCATCTATGTATAGGTGACTCCAAAGATGATTGTCAATTGTGTATAAAATTTAATATAGTCGCGTCAGCTGTATTACAGAGTTCGACTTTCTTTCAACACAAACGATAATGTCTTCAGAAAAACAATCGACGACTAAAGTCCAATGACCGGCATGATACATTATGACAGAATATATGACTTGATATATATTTGTTATACACATCACCGTCAGCAATATATA